CCCAGGACTACGGGAATAAAGACTTCTGCTCTATGGGGGGCATTCCAAAGAGTTTCTCAGCTTCAGCACTGGCATTCCTAGAGGATGGTCGAACCAGGATGCACTGGCATGGAATTAGCCTCTCTTCAAACAAGACTGTTCCTGGAACCAATACAAAATTAAATAAAAGAGGCAATAAAGGGCATGCTTGACATGTTCCCTTTCCCTTTGAAAGCTATCAGTTAATACACCATTAATCAGAATCTTCCCATGTTATCTAGCGTAAATTGCCTGCATCCTGCATCCAACATAAAAAGCTTGAGCCAGAGTCTAAATGTTGGAGGGTTTTCATTAGAAAAGGCCAAGCCACGTTATCAAAGGCTTTCTCCACATTTAAAAAAATAAATGCAGCTTTTTTCCTTTTCTTCTTGGCCCATTAATTGCATCAATCACAAAACGGATATTGCCTTTCATATATTTCTTTTAGGGACAAATCCAGTTTGGTCTTTATGGATCTGTTTTTCTGTACATTTTCTTAATCTTTCTGCCATTATTGAAGTAAAAAGTTTATAATCAACATTTAATAATGAAATAGGTTGGTAATAGAAGGCAAGATAACTGCCTTCTTTTTATTTATATATATATATATATATATATATATATATAAAAGCTTCTTGCCATGATGGTGGCAATAATCCTTCCTCTCTGATTTCATACTTGTTCTAGAGGCAGAATTAGTTTTTCCTCTAAAAATTTATAGTACATAGCAGTAAATCCATCAGGACCAGGGCTTTATCTTTTTTCAATTTACTAATAGCTTGTGATAGCTCTTGGATACTAGTAGTATCATTCAATATTATCCTTTGCTCTGGAGTAATTATCTCAAGTCCTGTTTCTTCAATATACTTCTCCATCCCATCTTCTGGGGTTGTTGTTTTTTGGAAAAGCTTTGAGGAAAAAATTAATAAATTGCTCATGAATTTTCTTTTCCACAAAGGTTATGCCATTATCTTTCTTCACTGCTGTTGTAGATCTTTCCACTTCCTTCTTAAGACAACACACTAAATATCTTTCCGGTTTATTTGCCTGTTCAAAATGTCTGTTTTAAAAATCTCAACTTCGTTTGTATCTGCTCTGTCTCTTAACATTTCTAGTGGATTTCTTAATTGTCTGAATTCAGTTAAAATTAGTTCATCTTGGTTTTTTTATGTTGATCCTCTACTATTTCAATTTGCTTACAAAGTCTTTTCTTTTTTGAGATGACTTTTCCTTAGCCATTGTTTTTATAAAATATCCTCTCAGATAAACTTTACTGGCTCCACAAATTGCCACTGTGGAAACCTAACCTGTGTTATTTAATCTGAAGAACTCTTCCAGTACTACTTCTGACTTAGTCAAAATATCTTCTTGTAGCAAAAGATTATCATTAAGTCTCCACCTTCCACATGTGCCCTTGCTTGGAAAGAATTAAAAAAAGCGGGCTTCATCCTGCCATAGGAAGCCCACCCACTGAATAGTTTGGACCAGCTATCACCATCGCAGCAGGATGTGAAGGCCCCTAAAGCGTGGCAAGAGCAGTTCGAAATGTCCCCTCGTTTCTTTTGTACTGCTGCACAATGAAACCACAGCAAACAACCCTGATCCTGACCCAGCCACCAAGTTTCAAGAACGGGAGTTTCTGCTGGAACAACCACAAGGGGGAGGAATTAAGGCGAGGTGGCTAGCATGGTTCTTGGGTAGGAATGGAGGGACCGAGCCTTTTCAAGGCAAGACCCTTGGGAAGTGGTTGCGTTCAGGAGACTCTGTTTTGAGGCTATCTGGCCTGGCGCACAGGGACTGCTCCTCAGGAAAGCCACATCATTTGCTAAATTGAGAGTGGAACCAAAGCGAGCGCTAGGGGCCAGCTGCTCCCTTTCCAGCTCCATTCCCAGGCGTGCGCTGCAGGTCAGACACGGGATGTCACCCAGGATGCAGAAAGTAAGATTGCCTGCCTGTGACTGGTGTTCTTTTTCTCCGAGGTCTCTGTGAATCACACATATGGGCTCTGTGCCTGCCAGGAAGATTTTCTTAGATAGAGCTGTTTTGGTGGGACCCCCCCCCCCCACGCCTCAGTTTAAATAGCAGGGGCTCCTGCCGTTCTCCCCAGTTCTCATGAGACTGACAGTTTGGTCTTGGAACTGAGGAGGAAGAGCTGGTAATGGCCTGACTCACACCATCCCTGTAAGGGTGCCGAGGGAAAGAAGCTGCAGGAACCGAGGCTGTCAACACTGACATGGGGCCAGTGGGCGGGTAGTGTGAATGTACAGATGACCACTGGAAGAACGAGTTACAGGCAAGTGACCCGACTTTCTTCTTGGTCTCTGTGCGTCACATACATGGGCGACTAGCAAGCTTATCTCCAAGTGGAGGGCAGGTGCCATCAGCAAAGGACCAGCGAGCACGGCTTGGGCCTGGCAAGTAAGTGCTCTTGGTCACTCAGGGAGCTGCAGTGCAGGCAGCCGACAGGCCCGCTTGATGGTCCCGACAACTCCTGCTGAGGGATGACTGGTCCACCTCTGGAACGTCTGTCACATGCGACAAAGAGTTTCCAGGGCTGGTGGGAAGATTCATTATGGGGCTGACAGAATGCCAATACCCTGTGCCAGGCTGGAGGGAGCCAGGAAGCACACTGCCACCACAATGTCCTGGTGCAAGTGGAAGTGCGACATGTTTGGGAGGAATATCTGGTCAGGCAGAAGAACCACCTTGGCTGTAAGAAAGCGAAGAACAGGGGAACCAAGCGCTTCCCATCAGACAAGGCGATTTTCCAAGAGGGGAGGTCTGCAGTGGCTACAGGCTGGAAGGAGGCTGCGTAGGAGCCTGTTGGTGCATGAGGATGGCATGATGAGGATGCAGGAAGCAACTTTCCTCCAGACCTTCACCAGCCTCCTGTTAATCAACAGGAATGGTGGGAACAGGCAGAACAGGGCCCCTTCCTGGTCAAGAAGGAATGCATCTCCCACTGAACCCTGGCCAAGCGGAAGGCTGCGCTTTAGGCAAAGAGGTCCACCCACTTTCAGAGAGCTGTCTCAGGGCTTCTCCCAACTATGGGTCCCCACAATCCTCCACTGCAGTGATGGTCCTGGCCAGGTGAATGACTAAAATGCCTTGTGAGGCACCAGCCCTAGATTTGTAACATGAGCCAAGTCTGGGATGTGGATCCCATTTTGCCTTGCTTGTTCAACTAGCAGACCATTGTAGTGCTGCCCATGATGACCTGAGCATGCTTGTCTTGTAGGCAGAGGTGGAACATCATCAGTGCCTCCTGGACCACATGGATCTCAAAAGTAGTATGCTCCTCCCAGTCCTGATCTGTCCAGACTCCATGGATCCCCCAGCAAGGGGGGGCTCCCACCAAAGCGACTTTAGCTAGGAAAATTCTCCCCGATGGCAGGCCCTGCACAGGGGCAGAGCCAAGACCCGTGATGCACAGAGACCACGATGAAGAACTCCGCTCCTTCTGAAGGTCAGCTTTGAAATGTGTAAGAAGCAAGCTGAGAAGAACATGTAACGGAAATAATCTGCCCAACTCTGGCTGAATCGAACACAGTCGGACACTGGCTGAATTGCATGAGGCAAAGACTCTGGCACCCTCCACTGCTCCAAGCCTCTTTTCACTAACGGGCCATGGTCTGTTATGTCAAAATAAATGGTAAAACGTGTTTACACTAATGTGCTTCAGTTGTTAGCACCTGTGGCTATTACCTTTCCCCACCCTGAAAAAAAAAAACACCTTACAAAGAACAGTTTAGAACGCAGAATGGAGACAGCCTAGACTGCGTCATAAGAAAACACTTTGGACAAGAAAATATTAGAACACATGTGGACAAAGCATCGCTCAGCCGTGAAGAGCATTCTGGACATTAGCTGCCATTCCTAGTTGGGGCATGATCTGTTGCATGTACGATGGCAACCAGGTACTGCCAATTCAGTTCCAAAACATAGGCACATCTACCTCCAGCTTTTTCATCATCCAAGTCTGTCATCATCCAACTTGCGACATTTCCCTTGGGGATGGCAGCAAGTCCAAACCATTCTGGTGCCTGGAAAAGGAAATCCCATCAGCACCTTCCCCCAGTCAACACAGGGAACAACATGGCCATTCTGCCATTCTGAAGAGCAAAGAATACCCAATGTTTTAAGGTCTGACTGTTTTAATATGGATTTTATTGTTGATTGGTCAAGAATTTGACTAGGATGCTGTGTTTTATTCTATTTTGTCTTTTTGTTAAACCGTCCCAAGAAGATGGTAAGGGATGGTCTAAAAAAGTTTTAAATAAATAAATTTGGTTTGCAGAAAACCTCAAGGCTTTTAAGGCAAAGTTATGAAACTGCTCCGTGCAGAGTCCAACTTCTGAACTCAGGTGGCTTTAGGATTTTCTCTCCTAGCCCCACCTGGGAGATGCCAGGGATCGAACGCAGGTTTCTGCATGCAAAGCAGGGCTATGGCACTGAGCTATGGCCCTGCCCTGAGCACTACTAAACTACAAGAGCACTGGGAACTTTTGGGAAAGCTCATCAGAAGACAGGGAGGTGGCCAAGCAGGACTTCCAGCAGTTGAGGCAGAGGCCAGGGCCCCAGTGCCCTCTGCCCACCCCCCCACCCCTGCACAACTGGTTTTGTACAAAATCACACACATTTGCTCACTGGCAGGCAGAACCCATGGTTCCTGGCCAGAGTGCTTTTTCCTCCTCAGCCATCTATGTGATCCCTCTGCTCTTTCCAGCATCCCTCCCTCCCAACTGGGCTTGCAGTACAGTAAATACTCCCCTGGTGGTGTGTTGCCCATGAGTCATGAAGTATTTAGCTTTGTGTCCCTTCCTGGTGCCCAGAACACATCATGTGAGATTCCCTGCAGCGGGGCCAGCTGCTTAAATGTCCAGTGATACAAACCAATACATTATCAGCAGGCAGCTTTGCATGGACAAAAGGCCTTGGGCGTATTTCTGAAAACATCAGGCACTCACAAGACACAAGGGGAATTCAACTGCGATGTAGACATCTGGATAGCAGCGTCATACTTTATTTAAAGTAAACCCATGTTAAAAACAAAGTTTAAATGAAAAAGTGGTACCTGAAAAATAAATTATTTTGATATAAAACAAAATCAATAACTTAAAAACACGCTAAATATACAAAAAATGTCTTAAGCATATATACTGTACAGTATAGGGGGAAAACCGATAAAAGCCTTCTGCTGCACACACAGATGACTTTATAAAAATAAAAGTAAGAGAAAAGAAAAAAGTTACACCAGTTAAAAGGGAAGCTGAGTCAGACCAGAGGTGCCATTTGCAGCCCACTGAACTTAACCGCAAAAGCACAACTTGCAGGTGGCCACCTGCCAAAATGTACAAGAGCTACTTCAAATTATGGGTCAAATAAAAGGTGTGTCTCAATTTGAACATCTTTTCTCTGTTATCTTCTTAAATGATCTTGTGGAAAAAGCTGCTTGTATAGTGAAACCATTTCTTAAAACCATAGAAAAACCAAAGCATTTGTGAGGAGAGTTACCTTTCTTCAGAAATGCGAACACAAATAAGCAAGGGTTAAAGGAGTCGGGGGGGGGGGGATACCATCAGCTTGGCCAGCGGGAGAGGATTAGTATCAAAGAGCAGAACGCCCATCCAACAGAAACAAAACAAACCAAAAACCAAACAAACAGAAATGTCCAGTAAACCTAAGTGTGAAAGCTGTTAGTGGCATGGAATTGGACAAGGCAGTCGGGCTCATGGAAGGTAGCCAGCACCAAAGGTGGATCACCACTGCATGACGAGGGGCTTGTCATGTGGGCATCGTCCCAATTGTCTTGCTTTTCCCTTTGTTTCTAAGTTCATGCACTGGGGAAAATATGCAGCTTTGCTCCGTTTTGAAAATGGATTATCACGCTATGTGTGAAGGCTACAAATAAAAAAGAGCAGATAACATGGACCTGATTTTAAACTAAGAAAGGCAAGGCATGTTTCATGAACTGCAAGTGTCAATGATTTTCTTAAAACTCTGCATTACGGCAAGCGTGTGTTGCCATTTTTAAAGGAAGGAGAACACACTGGGTAGAGGCAGATCACAAACCCCATGGATTTCCATAATGCCGGGGCAGGGAAAGGAGACCCGTCCGTAGCAGAGTCCCTGCACCTAGGCAGCATGCTCCGTTTTTCACGCAGATTCCCTTGGTGGGACTGCTGGGGGGGCTGCGAGGGGCTTTGGGGCAGCTGCCCTCATGGAAGAGCAGGCAAGCAGCTCCTGCCACCACGTGCACCCAAAGAATGCTCGGCACTGCATGTGCAAGGCTCACGGGCAGCATCCCGAAGGCAAATCTTGTCTCTTTAGTCAAAATGGATTTGCTTATTCAAGAACTTCTCCTCCATCGTGATGACTGGGGAACTAAGGTGCAGTCTTTTTTAAACATGCTTCCTCGGCTGTGGGAACCAATGTGCTCACCTACTGGCGGCCTTATGAAAACACACCCATTATTCATAGGAAGCATGAAATCACTGTCAATCATTCCTCTTATAATAATACATCACAAAATGGTTTCCAGCAAATACAAAGCCACTTGGACTTAAGTTCATCAGAAAGCTTTAATACCCATCATTTTTAAGGGTTGAATGAATATATTAATTGGGGAAATCCAAGGATATGAGGACATGTGATTACAGGAACTGTGAAAAACTTAACCTTATCTACAACATTGTGAAAAATGGGCTGCAAGAGGACAGGAGAATGCCCCCTACCCCCACATCTTGCTGGTCTAACAATGGAAAACTATTAATGGCTAATACAAGAGAAAAGGGCATGTGAATGTCAAATGCTAACAGTCAGAAATTTTGGCATTCACTCAACTAGGGAAGGAGAACATTGGCCTTTACTTTGTGCTGGACTGTTAGCAGGTTTCTATAAAACACAGCCACTTGTTGTCTTTTCTTTTCTTCTCAAAAAGGGTTGAGATGATTTGCAAACCTAATTACATTAAGCATTCCCACAGTTGTATCTGTTAAGGAAGTCACACATTTGCAAGTCATCAAAAAGGTAAATTATCCAAGACATAAGGTTAACTTGAGTTTATGCAAAAGGCTACCACACACTGGTTGCCCACTGGGAGAAGTATTTCAGTCATATGAATTTACTTTCTCTGCTAGCATCTTGGTTGGGCATCACAAAATCCAATTAATTGGATTGTATGGAAATTTGGAACACAACGGCTCATGCTTCCCAGCCAACCAGAAATTATATGGTCATGTAAGGTTGACAGGTCAAACATCTCCAGCCTGGACCCTAAAATAACGCAGTTTTCTCACAGAATTTCATGGGTAAAAATGCTTCAGTACTTCAAAGGCAGTAAAAACTGTTCCAGGAGATACACAGTATAGGAACAAATATCTAAGAACTTGTGGAGCAAACAATAACATATCAGAGGATGAAGCCTCCACGTACTACACATACATATCTAACCATTTACATTTTCCTGGACTGTGTAATAAGTTAATATGAAATTAGTTCAGGGACATAGGAGCTGGGCCTGTTTGTCTGCCCAAGAGGGAACCCCATCTTTAGTTCAAAGAGAATCTTAACCTTTAGCTGCAGCTTTTGCAAATGACTTAATTTTTTTCCCAAATACTGAATTTTATTAAAGACTGTTTTAAAAAATCAGAAGTTACCAATCTAATAAGAATATAGCAAAAATAATTGCATCTAGGGAGTGACCATAGATTAACAGCATCCTGTGCCATGATTGCTTATGACTTTTGACTCCTGATGAGATGGTCAGTCATATCAGATTCTGAAAGGGATTTTCAAGGCAGTTTTGTCACAAAACATGTTATTATCTGGAGCTCCCAGCAACATTTCTTGGAGGTTGCCAAGTTCAAGAGCTGAGCAATTTCCCAAGAACTGTAAGAGGCCCAAATGCAGGCTGAGCAGAGTTGAATGAGCAAAGACAGCAATCAGTAACCAGTCACGATTGGGGGTGAGGGTGGGGCTTCAGAAAAGACATTTATGGGGCTAGGGCTGATGGGCATATAGAGAAGCTGTGAGAGGCCTAAACCACACCACACGTGGAGGCCCCTGACAGCCAAAGCCAAGCTACTGACTAGCTACCCTAGCAGTCCTCTCCTGCATCCTTTGCAGAGACTGATGGGCAGGAGCCCAAAGATGACCAGCCCCAAGAGGCCTTCTCTGAAAGCCAACTGGGCACATGGGGAGCAGGAGCAGAGCTGACTAGGCAATTCCTGTCACACTCACCATGCCCGCAGAGGATGACCGCAGAGGTCATCCCACAGAAAGCTACTAAAAGACAAATGAAGGCGATCAAAGAGATGTCACAAAGGTACTTAAGGCTCCAAAGGATGTAAGAAAAATATAATTGCTGAGGAAACACTCTGCACAGCAAGCAAAACATGGCTCTGATCATCACTCAAAGGACTGCGAACTAGCCTCAGGGCAGAGTCCATCATCTTCAGCCCCACAGGGCCTTGCCATGAGTTATTTGGAGACTGTGCCCCATTGGTCTGGCTAGATCCCCAGTGACTGGGATACCAAGTGAAAGCCCCCAGATCTCAGTTCCGAAAACCTGAAAAGATTTCTGGACAAAAAATTGGCTAATCAAAACACAAATGTTCAGAATATGGCATGGGAATCAAAGAAGGGCACCAAGCTCAAGAAGGAACACTCAAGTGCTGTTCCAGATCAGTTAACAGAGACTGATGTATTGGGGCATAAGCGTAAGAAGTACATGCTAGTTAAACACACACACACACACACACACACACACACACACACACACACACAAAACCCTAAACCAGCAGAAAGGTCCACTGAAAATGTTCTCCAAACTCATCCATCTGGTTATATGCAAGGAAAAAAGTGAAACTTTAATAAGTTTGATTTGGTGAATGGCTGCTAGAAATTATCAAAGATGATTCACAAGGATAATATTTATCCCAAGGAAGAGGATCTGTGCACTTCACAGAAGCAGTGCTTACCAGAAAAATTCAAGAAATGCAATCCAGATCCTGAACCCAAGAAACAATACCTGGCTAAGAGAAAACCTCCCAAGTCCTTAATGGTGCAGTAGGAGCATGACAGCTGGACTGCTATTTGGAGCAACGCTCAGCGTCCTACTGTTGGATGGATGAAAGGAGAAGGGTTAGTATCTGGAGGCTGCCTTCGCACTGCAAAGGAAGAGCTCTGCTGAGACACGGATATTTAGAACTTTTTTCTTCCTTCTTCAAAAATGCAAAACACAAGGCTGCAAAAGCAGCAGCAGTCAACAGAAATGGAAGTTTTGGCTCCGACGAGCATCAGATGTGAAGGACGACAGCTTGCAGGTCTGGATGGATCCTGGAAAGCCTTCAGGATCTCTTTCTGCTGGTAGGGAGATCTAAACAACTGTACAGGCACTGGGGGAGAGGCTGCCTGCAGATATCCTTGAAGGGCACACGGCCCTTTGGCCATCAGGGTGTTGCTTGAAGCCTCAGAGCCAGGGAAGACTTGGATCAGGGGCTGAGCTGGGGACCAGCAGAGCCCACATAGGCCTGGCACGGTGCTCAGCAACTGCCAAGATGAGCTGGGAGGCACAGCCATGGCAGGGCCCTGGAAGGTGAGACCTGGCAGAGCTCATACAAGATGGCCTACCAAATGTGATGCACGGCAGGCTTCAAATCCTATTCAAATGCTAGGACTGGAACAGATTTCCCCTCAAGCAAAAAAACTGCTGCCTGAACTATACAGCAACTATACACGTTGCTGAAAAGCCAGTTTAAAGTACAAAGCCCCTTCACAGCTGATAATGAACCCTCCGACTGCAAAACCTCAAGCATTGCACAAATGCTTTGTGTATGTAAGCCTGGCTTCATTCTGGTAAGGTGACCGCAATGTTATATTGAAACACCAAATCAATCCTATTGGGAAAAGGACTGCTGTATCTTTTCCATGTTGTACACTGTGCAATATGGAGTGGGGGGAAAATTAAAATAACAAACCAAAACAAAATTTGAGCAAAACCAAATCAAATTTAATTGGTCTTAAATGCAAAAGTAAAAACAAACAAAAACACAAAAAAGCAAAAGAAAATTAACAGAACTCAAAGTTTCAAGGCAGCCTGAAGAAAACTTTGGGGATTAATTAAATCCTTAAGTCTACAAAAATCAAAATTTTGTCTCTCTTAAATCTCTAACTTGCACGTTTTAATGTACATTTCTGCTGAGTGTTCAATATGTAAAGCTATTTGTCAGAAGAAAACCCCTATCGAAATAGGAAAAAATGATCTAGTACTTATTAGAAGGGATGCAAAATATTACAATGCTCAAATGTTCGTAAGTTTTATAAAAAAAGAAACCTAAGAACTCAGTAAGTCAAACTAAAAAATCTTGATTAACACGTTTGGTTTACCAGAAAGTTAATGCACTGGGATTAGCTACTTGCAGATAATGACTTTGAGCAAGTGGCAAAAGTGGGTTTGGAGTTTCTGGTTTCACTCTGAAATATCCCCAGAGTCTCTCTGAAACTCTTTGGTCCTTTCGTATTAGAAACTGGGCTTTTGAAGGAAAAAAGAGGATTTTTTTCTGTTTGTCATTTTGTCTATCAATCAGCTAATTTGGTCAATGATATTACAAAATGCTGGCATATTCTCATTCACCAGACCTTCCTTCTCTACAAATTAAGTGCAACTAATAAAAAAGCAAAATTTCCTAACTAAAACTTCAGTTTCCAAGCTTTGTGTCCCAGATTACCAGGAGTATGCTATTCTAAAGCTTGAATGAAGTCCCAGTCTTGGCAAAATCCAGTCAGTAAAATCAACAGTGGTCTCTTAAGGGACAGTATGCCTGATAATTTCACTGCCAGCCCAAAGAGGTCGATATCATTAATTTAGATTTTGGTGCTCAAGGACTGATCATGAAGGAAAATAGAAAACTAAGAACATCGCAGAACTTAAAAAAAAAAAAAACAACAACAACCAAAACCCCAAAACATTTGAACATGTTGGTGGCATCCCAGAATATAAAACCCCTTTCCACTTCTCATTTTAGACTAAAGACAAACAACTTTGTGAAAATTGGCGCAAAAAATGAGTTGTACACTAACCGAAACAAACAAAAAAGATTTCAAACTTTTCCGTCACTCAATTATCTATTCCATACAAAAAAAAAAAAAAGCCACAAGCGAAGTTATTTGTGGGACTTGTTGGTTTTGAAGGAAACCTGCAAGATTTTGTCCCCCAGCCGGTAGCCGTTAAGACTCGCTATGGCCATCGCGGCTTCTTCATAGTTTGTCATTGTCACAAAGCCAAAGCCTTTACACTTGTTGGTGTTGAAGTCGCGTATGACTTTCACATTAGTCACCGCACCAAAGGGGCCAAACATCTGCCAGAGGATTCCCTCATCGGCATCTTGGCCGAGGTTGTAGATGAAGATACACCAGCCCGAAGAGGAGTTTCCTGGGACATTTACACCAGAAAGCCCACTCATGTGATCTACACCCATAGGAGAGAACCTAGCAAATAAAAAAGCATACAATAGTTCAGGTAAACAAAACAACAAAACAAAAAAGTCAGTTCAATCAAGCAAAAAACTCAACAGGGAATCAAGATTAGGAATACGGGGTGAGGGGCATGTTCAGGCATCCGTCACTGTCTGTGGAGCAGGGCACTGGCATCCCAGAGTATGCAGAAGAGAAGGCAAAAACGAGAGAGCACACTGGCTTTCATGGACTGGAGCTCGCTTCTTCAGAGGCATGAGTTGTGTCCTCTGCTTGCAGAGGAATAGGTAGCAGGGGCGGGAATAGCCAAGTACGTTCTCACCCACCATCAAAGGTGACAGCATTTACATTTTCTGCTGCATGACACTAGCATAAATACCTGCAGCACAAATGAACCCCATGGTTCTGTGAAGGGCTGTGGGAAAGAACCCAAATGGTCTGTGCGCTTCTTTCACTTCAAAAGAGCACGTAGCCTCACTGTCACCAAAGCTGCAACTGTGACCAGATTGTGGGGCTAAGTACTTGGGGGACGCCACCACTTGGAGCTGAAGTTTGTCCATGACAGAAGTGAGCTCCAGTCCACAGAAGCAAGTGCCACAATCGGTCTACTAGCCTTTACTGTGTCTCTCTGCTGTTTTTGCTGCACTCTGCTAGCATGGCTGCTCCATCTGGCACTGGGATCAACCAGGAACACCTCCTCCTCAGGTGCCAGTGGGGGGTACAAGAGCAGGGCAAGGCACAAGTCACTTTCGGGCTGCTCCGCTCCATATCAGCCAGGCCTGAGCAAGGCTCTCCTGAAGGCTGAGCCCCCCTGCATTGCACTGCCGTCAGCTGGGCCAGGGGAGTACTTCTGCTAAGCCTCCCTGAGCAAAGGGGTGTGTGCTAAGCCACGGGGGGTGGCCGCTGTGCCATCTTCGAGGGCCCAGGAGGAGCGCCTGCACTGCAGGCAGCACCACGTGGCCTGAGACACAGAGGATGCCCAGCAACGGCCTTTGGAAGGACCAAACTTTTGGTCCAAAGTGCTCGCTGCAACGTGGCAGAACCATGGGAAATGACCATTTAAATGAAAGGAACCGGGTGACAGGGACAGGAAAGGTAGGGGTGGCACTCTCAGTCTTCCTTAGCAGCCCTAACCCCAGCAAGCCTTTCCCAGTAGTGGATTTCTGTACAAGTGGATTTCTCCACCTATTTTGGCCACTTATTTCCCCTTTCTCCCCCTGCTGAGAAAAGAGGGGCACCGTGCAGCATCCCACTGGGTTTGGCCCATGGAGCTTCCCCATCCTCTTACACATCGCAGCAAGAGAATCCTTGTGCACAGGCGCTTGAGGTGACCTGGGTCGGGGAGAGGGAGGCACCTCTTGCCAGAAAATGAATGGGCTTCATTACCGGAACAGGTAATGAAGGACTATTGTTCTCCTACAGAAACAATGCCGTTTTATGAGATACTTGGGGGCGGGGGCTGGCAGAGCAGATCAGGCTCTGGCTTCTCAGGGATCAGTCTACATTGTGCTTCCTAAGGGGGGAGGAAGGGCATTTACTTGGGAGGTGCCAGGGCTATGCGATAAGACCATATCTCCAGATCACCTCGTGAGGCTGGGCCCCATTCAGATGATCCTCCAATCCTGGGTGTGGAGCATGCTGCGCAAAGCTCTCCTCTTGGTTCCTTCACATGGCTTCGCCTGCATTTCCTATTCCATGCAAGCCATTTTACCACAACAGCCAAGCTGACGAGACCGTTGCTGGTGTTCCACCTCCAAAGCAGGTGATCCCTAACTGGAAAGGCAAGTGCCAACCACCGTTCAAAGCACACAGCCTCGTGGCAAATGGCAGCTCACAGAGAAGGGAAAGGCAGGGAAGCTGCAAGCGCACACAGCTTGGTCAGGATCTGCCACACCACAGTTTGGCACACCATCTTCAGTGAGCCCCCAGTTCTGACCCTGAACCTGTTGCAGACATTCTTTGGAGACACTGGGAGGTGAAACTGGCAAAAATGCTCTTACACAGTTTTAGCACAGTAGGGAGAATCATCACCTCACACGAAGAAGCTGAGTACAGGCAGATAGAAGAACATGTATTTATTTAACATGTGACAAGAATTCTAAGACAAGAATTCTGAAAGATGCCCAGCTGACTCCACACTTTAGGAGAATGAAAATAATAATTAAAAAACATGCAAAGCTTTACTGAAGAGGTAACTGCTAGAAAAGATTTACAACAAGCATTGTGTGAAAAAGGAGCAAGGACTTTAAAAAACAAAAACAAAAGAAGAAAGAAGAAAAAAGACACATAAGCAAGTGAAATAAGAAATCCAAAAGTCAGGAAAGGGCCATCTTTACAATATGGCTAAATTTTTCAGAAGTGTCTCTATATCTAGCAGTGATTAACTAAATCTTCAAAAGGAGGCCACTGACCACACTTGGGAGAACAGCAAGGGGCTGAATGAGGCTTCCACGGATAAAATAGTGTGCTAAAATATACACATACCAATGGTATCACTTTTATTTAAACAATGGCCAAAAAAACAAAAACAAAACCCTTTAATTACTGTGTATTATCCAGTTTAACAGGTCACAAACTGCTAATTAATACAAACGGATGCATTAGTGGTTATCTGTGGCCTGATCTGGACTATTAATAAGGAACTGTAAGCCAACTAAGTGCTGCAGAATCTGCAGCCTAGGAGACCCTGGCTGGCCAATCAGATTCCTCTCAAAAGAACAAACTGTAATGGAGGATGCTGTATGCCTTACTGAGGGTTGTCATCTTCTGCTTATTGTACCGAGGAGGGACTTTCAGAGCTTGTAGGGTAGAATGCTTGGTGCTGATATTTATGTAGCATTTGATGATTAGCAGTAATTACTGGCTGTTTTTTAGTTGTGTTGTGGTCTAATTCATCCAGAAGGCACCAGGCTGCCTTAGGAAATTTTCAGGGGAAGGCCAGCAATGAAGGTCAAGTGTGCCGAGTCCCAAGGGTCTACAGGTAGTGGCCTGGCTTCTTAGCTAGCCTGCTTCTTCCACCTAGTTTAAAGGGGTCTTGAGCAGACACAAACTGGAAACGGCTGTCCAAGACCCCAAAGGAACTTCTACTAGGCCAGAGGATAGATTCAGTGGCCATCAACAGCTTGGTAACCTCATGGGAAAATTCTGGGTGTGCACTCAACCACATGAAGGGGTACAACGGACCTGATGGAGGAAGGGCTCAAGGTAATGAGCTTTGTGATCAGCGTCCTCAACAGGCAAAATCAGCAGCATCACAAAAGGAGAGACAGAGGGAGTTCTCATCAAACAGGCAGCAGAATGGTGCTGCCAAAGCCTTGGCTGCAAGCTGGACCAGGGCAACCAAAGACTTTGCCAGGCGAGAACAGATCGTAAAGCTGTAATTCAGCCTTCCCCAACCTTGTGCCTTCCAGGTGTGGTGGATTGACTCCTGTCTGGGGATGATACAACTTATCTGGAGAATTTAGGGTTGGGAAGGGAACTGGAACAGATATTAAGAATCAGACGGACTGCCATCTTTTTCACTGGCACTATTATGCTCCCTCTCATCAGCTCCAGCCTTCCCATTCAGGGATAGAGGTGACACAGGCATACAGATTAAACTGATCAAACAAGTATCATCTCATAAATCTCGGAGGTATGTGAGCCCAGCAAGCAATATTTTAAACATTTAAAGAGAAGAATTAATTTTTTAATTTCCATTTTAGAAACTGAACTTTATTGGTGCTTTATTCAAAGTGCCACTGTTAACAAATTGAACTAGCGCTTTCAGAGTCAAAAATATAGCTGTTTGTGGAACAGCAGTTAAAGGGATGAAGATTTGCCAAAATTGTGAGAGAGCTGGACAGAAAAAAAAGAGTCTGGTGCCGAGTTAATATGGCTGCTAGTAGTCTTAGGCTGATATACAGCTAATGCATTGATCTTGGCTGTGTGCACCTTTCTCAGAAGAAAGTTCTAAAGAGTTCAGTGGGACTTATTACCTAGCAGGTTGTAACAGCTGTGGGCATGAGTGACAGGCTTGTTTTGGCTGGGTAAGTACACATAGATGGGTTTGGGATGCAAGGAAGGAATGCAGGAAGGTTCCAGAGTTATGCTGGTAATGCCTCTGTCTTAACAAAAAGGGCATCATGTGACAGATAAAACACACTAATTTGCAACTGCAACTTGATCTTGGGCAGGGAATCTCTATTTTTTATTTTTGCATGTAATATGCATCCTTGTATGTCATCTCCTGTCTCAAGTCATTGATCTAGCTCAAGGTGAGCAACTTGTGGCCTTTCAGATGATTTGGCCTACAGCTCCCATGACTGCTCACAGCTGGCTTTGTGGGCAAAGGCTGGTGGGAAGTTGTACACTCAATGCCTGGTGAGAACCACACCCAGCCCACACCTGAGCTAGCTGAACAGCACAGAGCTCCTTCCCAATTTAGGAGTCCATGTTTAGTCTTATTCTTTTACAGTTTAATAGAGGCACATATACAAGTTTCCGTAGATAGACAAGAAGCTGAAAAGCTGTGCTTCCTTTACCTGCACAGGACTATGGCATTCTTCCCTGCTGTGCATGCAATGGGCAACAAATAACAGCTTTTTCTCCTTTTTAAAAACCCGATTTGTGTATAAAATTTGTGGTTTTGTTTGGGATGTTAACCCACAAAAGAAAACGTAAAATGTCTGCTTCAGGAATCTCAAACTGTGGACGAGATGCAACCACCAAACACAGATATTAGATCTTGGGCCACAGTTCTGCAGGCATTAGTGCAATTTATTTTTTTTACTTTATTTTACTGGCCTGTTTCTCTCCTCCCTATCTTAAAACCTGCAATTTTTAAAAATAGTTTTGTCAGCAGCTCAAAAGAATAGTTTTGGTCAGAAAAGCAGAAGGAATAGCTTTTAAAATAACAACAGAAAGCCTTAAATTTAAAAAGATCCTTTGGCCATATTTAGACTATGGGAGGAAAGGGGATTTATAGGCTTAAGGTTACTGTTTAACCAAACTGGAATTGTGCCATTTACAGAAATATGCATTGCAATGAATACAAGACCCCATTCTTCCAGTAATGTAAAAAATCTTATCTGTTGACACATTTATGAAGCATCAAATCAGACAGTGAAATTTTCAATCTTTATTAACTGGGGAAAGAGGGCCTAGAGGGCTTTTAATCCCCTATTTAAATAAATTTCTACTAGGGAAAATTAAAGATAAATCTGACAGAACAAAAAATAAGAACAGAAATGGACATCAACAGCAATTACTGACATAGCTTGGGAATACATATTCAATAGGGGACAAAAGCACCCCACTGTCACTGATTTTGAAAGTATTTCAGAACTCTCTAAAGTTATACAGAATGTACATTTTTTAAAAAATCTAATGGAAGAAGTTGGAGGTGCAATTGGGACCAAGCTGATGGGTTCCACGTGAACTGTCAAGAAATATTGGGAAAAAGTTGGTTAAAGTAATAATAAAAATCACTGGATACAGATTTACATCGAACCCTACTGTGACCCCTCTGAGGACAGTAATGGTACTTCTGGTGGGTGGGTGGATGGATGGATGGATGGATGGAGCACTAAGGAATGTCTTACACAAGGGAAAATTAACACATGATGACTAGGTTGCATGAAGGAAAGCAACAAGAAGTACTCTACGAAGTGGCCTTTACTGGCTAATTACTGGAACACAAGGTCTTCAACACAGCACTGAACCTAGTATTTTGGAACGGATAACATTTATTTTGGTGTTTAATTTTTTTTCTCTCCTTTTTCTATCTACTGTGTGTTGTGCCTGATGATGAACAGTAATGACCGGGGGGCAAGAGAAGGAGTGGGAAGGAAGAGAGGGGAAGAAAGAGTGAGGGGAGGGGAGAGAATAGACAGTACAGACTTCTAATAATTCCATTCTTCCTAACCTACCTGAATCTCTGTGCCTGGTGATGAACAGGCCCCCCAAACCGTCTAGCTGGTGAGTGGTACAGCTGTGACAGCAACGCCACATTTTTGTTTTGATTGGGGTTGGCAGCAAACTTCACTGTGATTGGCTCAGAGGATCCTGGAGGCTTGTGCCCATTGAAGTTTGAAATGGCCTCTTCAGCTTCTGACCTTTTATCAAACCGGATAAAGGCAACCCCTCGGGACAAACCTTGAAGCCAAACCAACAGAAATGCAAAGTAAGCAATCCTTTCCTTTTCTTTACTCTCAAATATCTCCTGCTTTGTTCAGTTATGACCTTTATAAACACTAAAAAAAAATCTAGCCAGCAAGGAACATGCTCAGCCTCATGAGATCCAACAACAATTAAGAAGCCACTCAATATCAATATCACTCTCACTGGGGTGAAGTGATGAGTTCTGTAAGCTTAAGTTATGTCTCAGCTTCCAAAATGGAGGAGTTCAAATGTTTGCAGGACACCTGCTAAATCACACTGGGCTGCCAACCTGACCTGGGCAGAGTTCAGGGGCTATACAAGTTGCCTCAAGGAGGACCGTGGTTCAACAAGATAAAATGAGAAGGAATTACTGGGTCAACATTAGGAGCCAAACATTTGAATTTCACAAGCAGCACTGCTAAGCCAGCCGTCATTCTGTAAGCTCAGAAGCTGAGCAGTAGTTCTGGTCCTTCCCCTCTTCCTTGTAGCCTTGCCACCTGGACTACCTGGGGCAAGGAGCTACAGAGAAGAGGGAGGGATACTGGCTGTTGTGCTTTTGATTGCTAGTCCTACACAAATTCCTGATCTGATCAGATCAAATCCCCACCATGACACAGCATCTGGTAGAATCATTGCCTTGCACACCTGTAGTTTGATCAACCAGTACACGTGAGTTGATAATACGTCCAAACCGTGAAAACATATCTTCAACATCTTTCTGTGTCATTGTCCGCGGCAGCCCACTAATGTACAAGTTGGCATCTTTAATCACCTCAGAGCTTGGGCGGGCATACGACACCTTAAAAACAAACAAACAAATGGAACCATGGATTTAGACTTGAAAGCTCATACAATTTTTGATCCCCACCTCTTTCCAGAACTTTAAGCACCCATTCAGCCTTCTTGTTTCAAGACTGCAAACCAAATTTGCCCCACAGCTTCCCAATGTTTCAGCAGTAAGCAGCTGAGAACAGAACCACTTCCTTGGAGGTGGGGGCAGACTCTCCTCACAGGGGGTCTTAAAAGTCAACTGCTGGGGACAGCCCAGTTCTTGATTTCCTTCCACAAAAGGAAAGGGGTTGGAAAAGATGGCCTGCCAGGCTCCTCACATGCTCTAGGATTCTCACCCTGCCTGGAAGATGAGCAGCAACGGCTGCTTCTTTATGAAGACCTCCAGCAGCACAGTAATTTGGGCTTCTTATTTGACAGCAGGGCCCAGAGAACAACGATGGGAGAAAAGGCCCCACTGCTGTGGGTGCTCCTACCTTGGAGGTCATCTGATGGGAGCCCATTCAAGGGATGGATATAGCTCAGGAGGAAACCAGCTGTCCAGAAGTTTGTATTGGGACGGTAAGGCAGAGAGGACTGCCTGCACTTGCACAGCCTTCCTCAGCCTGGAGCCCTCTGGATGTCTTAAACTAGGACACCCAGCATCCTCCAGCCAGCTATGCCAAGGACCATTCTAGAAATACCCAGGAAATGATGCTTCCCAAAACATAGTGAAGCAGTGCACTGAATGCCTGTAGGTTTTTTTTCAGGGCCTCAAGCAAAGGCTAAAAAACTAAAGCACAGAGGCCAACTCACAAAAATGGTGACACCCTCCCCGCCACCAACTAGCCAGTTTCAACACTGCAACATTATTTTTAAATATAAGAGCAGCAGGCGGGACGTGCTGTCTTAGAGAGGGCACTTCCTCCTGTGCAAGTGCAAGGGAGAACACCTCTTGTTCAGCAAGAGCCACACATCACCGGCAACCAAATGCAAATGCTTTTGTCACTGCTTATGTGAAACATCTGGTTGTTTCCAATAAACAGGTTTAATGCAGGTTTAAATAATGAATCAAGTTTCATGCATTTAATCAGCTAAAACACTCTTGAACCAGTAGATAACCCTGTAATATTTCAAAGATAGAGAGATACACTCACACACATATAAAAATGGTGGGGAGAGGTATATATCAGCACAGAAAAAACATTCTTCATTCTCCATCTCATTTGTCTGATGAAACTTGCCTTAATAAATCTAATCATCTTTAAGATGCTACTGGACAAGAGATTGTTTTTTCTAACTCAGCCATGTTTTTCCTAACTAATCCAACACAACTTCTCTTCCAGAATGCAGGCTCACATATCACAATGGACATCTAAGGGCACTGAGAGTAATTAGGAACCAAAAGACAAGACACATCCTGGTGATCAGTACGGATGCGGGGAGAAAAAGATACTTGGGCATTCTGATGTGGCTTGCCATTCAGCCATGGAACTACTGGGAGGCTTAAGGAAAGCATCTGCAGGTGAAGAAGAATGAGGAATTCTAGGAGGCCAACGCTTGCAGCTGGTACAGTCAGTTTTACCTTGATGGTTTTGGACTGAAGTCTCAAGCCATTCAGCGTGTTTATTGCTCTTTCGGCATCTTTAGCAGTCACATAGTTCACAAAGCCATATCCCAAACTGTGTCCTATAGGGAAAAAAAGGGAATTATATATACAGTTGAACCTTGACTTTTGCGGGTTTAACTTTTGCAGATTTGATTATTCACAAGTTTGCCATCAAAAATTAAATGGGTTTTTTTTTAAGTTTTGCAGCCTATTGCAGAAAATGGTAATCACCCTAGAAAGAGGAAGCAAAAGGGGAGAGAGTGAGGGCCTTCAAAGTATGCCTTCTTGCCCCACCAATCCAGAAAGAGAAATCTCTGCAGCATTTCATTGGTGCAAAAGGAGGCAAGTAAAAGTGAGGGCAAGGAATTAAAAACATCAGAATGTAATAAATGAAGAAGAGGAGCCCTGCGGGATCGGACCAAGGTCTGAGAAAGCAAAAAGCAATTCAGTACATGCATGGTCAACAGTATCAAAAGTTAAGGTGGGAGGCAGGGTAGAGATATTTGCACTTCTTCAATTCCTGCAAATGTGGATGACCAACTGTAAAGAGATAAAAAAGTGGTTTTCTTGAAAACAAGCAGGAGGAATAACTACTTTCTTTTGCTACCTGTTAAAAGGAATGTTTCATATTTGTACTTCTTCAGGACATGATTTGTGTTGTACGTGAACTGCTAAAAATACAGCACATTAAGGAGAGAGTAATCATAGCAACAACTTTTCTTCTGAAGACCTGGATACACACAACTACTGCATTAAATTCCCGGAGGTCATGGTCCTAGACTTCTATCCATAACACAAAAACCTGAGTGACCATGCATGGTTAAGTTTCACAACCCAGGCCTACGTGCACATGTACGATCCTGCACAATCAAAGGAGGGATGAAAGAAAGGTCCCTTGATGCCCTAGCAACTGCAGAAAATGGAAACCAGGATCCAAAAGTCTACATGAAGGGTGCCCAAAAGGCTTGGCAGGTCCAGAGGTACAGCAAGAATTTTGATTCCTCCCATCCTACCCCAGCCACCCTGCAAAATAATCAGCCCCTGTCCTCTTCCCACTTCTTATTTTAAATGTGATGCGCCAAAGGTGTGGGGTTGCTGACTGAACACACAGAACATTCTCTGGATGCTGTACAAGCTTAGCAAGACTTGTTCTGTTCTTCACAATGTTTTCAGAAGGACCAAAACTTCATACCCTCCCTTTTAAACTAATGCATTAAAGGCACAGTCCTATGCAAGTTTAGACCATTCTTGAACGTTTTTGTTTGTTTTTACCTGCCACTTTGTCGCGAATAAGCTTGGCAGATTCAACTTCTCCAATGCTACTGAAAAGGCTGCGCAGCTCATCCTGGGTCATGTTCTGAGGAAGGTAGTTTACAATCAGATTTGTCCTGCCAATATCATCCCTGCAGTCTTCAGCCATGTGATCTTCATAACCATTAGACATTTTAATTAGAAAAGAAATCTGTCAGAAAACAAAATGTGCCATTTAGTTCTGGATGGTCATCCTCATAATTTCTTTGAAATGACAAACTGAAAACATTATTTATCAATACTGAAGATGAAGGGATTACTGTGATGCACATATTAAAGTGACATGCTGACTGTCACCAGAACTTTCGGGACTCAACTAAAAAACAAAATCCAATACAACAGAATAAAATTAGAACAGAAAACAAAACACTGAATGCATAAGTACATGCTTTCAATTAACAAATTCATTTCTGAAAGACGCAGCTCCATGCCAGGGTAAATTTCTGATCCACATGCAACATTTTTCTCCCAATTAGACAAAGATATAAAGAACTGTCATTAAATTATATGCACTGGTCATACCTGCTGCTTTCACTACACATTTATCTTTAACTACAAAACATAACTGTGTGTGATGACCTACTAAAGAGGCCTCACCTCAGTAGCAGAGCAGGTGCTTTAGGTCTGAATTCATTTCTGGCATCTCCAAGTGATTTGCAAGTATATCATTTTAAGGTAGAACAAGGTTTCAAGATGGCTAGATGGAGGGGATGCAGTGGATGTGGTTTACCTGGATTTCAGCAAGGCCTTTGACAAAGTGCCCCATGATATCCTGGTGGAGAAACTGAGGAGTTTTGGGATACACCAAAGCACTGTCCAGTGGATTAGGGCAAGGTTGACTGACCGAAAACAGAGGGTAACCATTAGTGGGGAATCATCAGGATGGCGGCCAGTGACAAGCAGGGTCCTCCAGGGCTCTGTCCTGGGGCCGATCCTGTTTAATCTTTTGATTAATGACATGCAAGAAGGGGTGAACACTCTGCTGATCAAATTCGCAGACGATACTAAAACTGGAGCAGTGCCCACAACTGAGGAGCAGGTACTCCAGATCCAAAAGGATCTGGACAGACTATGGAAGTGGGCAGGAGACAACAGGGTAGTATTCAATGTGGACAAGTGCAAGGTCTTGCACTTGGGGCATAGGAATAGGTGTCATACGTACAGGTTAGGGAACAAGTGGCTGGAGAGCAGCACTTGTGAAAGGGACCTCTGGGTGCTGGTTGACTGCAGGCTGAACATGAGTCAGCAGTGTGATGCGGTGGTCAAGAGGGCGAATGCCACCCTTGGTTGCATAGCCAGAAGTGTGGCTTCTAGATCGAGAGGGATATTACTACCACTCTATACGACTCTGGTGCGTCCGCAACTGGAGTATTGTGCTCAGTTTTGGGCCCCTCATTACAGGAAGGATATAGCCAGGTTAGAGTCAGTGCAGTGTAGGGCCACAAGGTTGGTGGCTGGTTTGCAGGGGAAGCCGTATGAGGCGAGACTGAGGGAACTGGGTCTCTTCAGCCTGGAGAAGAGGAGACTCAGAGGGGATCTGTTGGCGACACACAAGTATGTGAGGGGGTGTCACACATGGAGGTGGGTAGAGACCTGTTCTCCCCTGCAGAGGAGGGCAGGATGCGCTCCAGTGGAGCAAAGCTCAGGGAAGCAAGGTTCAATTTAGATGCCAGGAAGCACTTCCTGACAGTTAGGACCCTGAGGGTGTAGAATGGGCTTCAACGGGAGGTCGTTGAGGCCCCATCGGTGAGGGTGTTCAAATATAGCCTGGACATGCACTTGGTGGGCATGTCGTAAGGAGAGCTGGCTGGAGCCGGGGGTCAGACTAGATGGCCCGGGAGACCCCTTCTGACTCATTCTGTTTCTATCTTTCATTTAATGTCTTCTGCACTGTGTTCATACAGCCAAGTTTACACTAAGAAAGAATGTTCGATAGACAGTTAATGCTACATAGAAAAAGAGCCCCAGCTGTACAGCCCACTTCCCAAAAATCAGGTACAATCCCAGACATGTCTGAATAAACTATAAGAACATAAGGAAAGCACTGCTGGATCAGGTCCTAGGCCCACCCAGTCCAGCGCTCCACACACACAGTGGCAACCCAGCTGCCCACAGCAGGATGGCTGCAAGACCTCCTTCTGCCCATCTCTCAGCAACTGGTGTATGCAGGCCTGCCACCTCTGGCAAAGGAGGCAGGCCAAGGCCAGCAAGGCTAGTGGCCACAGAAAGCCTCTTCCCTCATGAATCTGTCCAATCCCTTTTAAAGCCATCCAGATTGGTGGCCATCACCAGTTCCCATCACAGGAAATTCCATAGTTTAACTATATTTTGTGTGAATAAGTATTTCCTTTTATCTGTCCTAAACTTCCCACCAACCAGCTTCATGGGATGACCCTGGATTCAAGCCATGAAAGAGGCAGAAAAATGTCTCTCTCTCGCTACATGGTGCACTGTTATAAACACCTCTACCATGTCTCCACTTACTCACCTGTTTTCTAAGCTATACAGTCCCAGTTGTTATAGCAATTCCTCACAGGAGAGTTGCTTCAGTCCCCTGATAATTTTTGTTGCCTTCTCTGTATGTTTTCCAACTCAGTAATGCCCTTTTTCAGGCAAGGTAACTAGAACTGCACTATTTTAGCCTGGACTGGAAAAAAAGACTCAACCTGCTACTACTGAGAGCAGATGATTACGCTAGCACCTGATCCTCCTGCTGATTGTAGCTCCTAGGATAGAGTTCCAGCTTTATGAAAAATGCCAGGAACTATATCACTTATATTATCTATGTCATGGGTCCTCAAATTAAGGCCTGGGGGCCGGATTCGGCCCGCCATGCCTATTCGGACCCGCCGCGTGTGCACCCACGCCCGCCACCGCCCACTTCGCCCCGCACATGGGGAGGCAGCAGTTTGCTCACTTGGAGAAAACAATCTCCAAGTGAGCAAGCCGTTGCCTCGTGCGCCCGCCTCATGGCACATACCTGTCCCTGCCCACGCCTCCCCTCCCCTTGTCAGGTGCACGCACCTGACCGCGCCTCACCTCCCCTTGCTACGTGCGCTTGCCCATGCCTCGCCTCACCTTGCCTCGCCGTGCACCCCACCCCCACCTCAGCATGCACCACTCCTGCGCCAGCCTGCGCACACTACTGGCACTGCCTTTCTGGCCCGTGCCCAGCACCAGCAGCTTTCAACTGACCCCCTGGTGGAAAAGTTTGAGGACCCCTGATTTACGTCATCCTGTCTGGGAGGGCAAGCAACATGTTCTAAGCAGCCACGTTAACAATTTCATGTTTTGTTTCTGCAAGTAGATGTTTGATAATTCAGGCACATTCTTAAACGGGATAGTCAAAACAGTCCTATCTCCTAATGGGTATGCGTTATTCACATGAGAAGGGCTGTAAGGTTGGTCTGGAATTCCAACCTGGTAACCACACAAGGTTGTGGCTACAAGACCTCCCACATGTGGTATTAGACTCCCCCAGCTCTGCTTTTGTCCTGTCTGCCATGGAGAAAAGATGAAGGATCAGAAAACAATGAAGACTTCTAGATATGTTCTTTTAGAATGAAAGGCTTTCATTTAGAATAATGAATTAGATGACAAGTTCATATATTGCCATGCAGACTTTATTCCGCCAAAATGATGTGTTAAGTCCACATACTAGGAAGACACATACAAAGACCATATCTTTGTGAAGTTCAGACTTACAGCCTCAGTTCTCACCTGAAGGGAGAGGGAGCTATTGGGATAGCTATCTTCTAGAGACTGAAGAAATGTCGTAGGTTCAGGAGTGCTCTGGAAAATTTCCAGTAGACAGAGAGAGGGATCCTGCAGAGGCTTTTATTTCATTTTGGAAAAGCAGTATGAAATGGGCCATTGGTACAATTCCTTCTGAGTGCCCCCTCCAGCAATGTAAAGCCCAATCAGCTCTTTGGTATCCTAGTGAGTGGAAGACTATGAAACAAGCAGGTCAACTGCTGCAGCGTAGGCCTAGTTGTGCAGCCTACTGAAAGCACAGAAACATGCTGACTGCTTGGCTGAGAGCAGCAAATGAGGCTTGTTTTATGACCTCCATCACATCCACTGGCATTTTAACAAGTGATTTGGGGATTGCTAACATTGCTTCTAGCACACAGAGCTTTTTACCCTCCAAAAGCCCACTGTGGTTCTCTTGCTAGGACAAAATTGCGTATCTTTGCAGCGATCTGGATACTTTCTGCAGTTCCAAACAAGCCAGATATTATGGGTAAAATGGGGGCTGAGAATGTGAATAAGGCATTTGAAACACTTTGTCCTGGTCCTTTCTGGCTGATAAAAACTTGCCAAGAAGTCTGACTGGGTAGGTTCTAGGTGTGGTTGATGCATCTTTGCAAGGAGGCATCAGCTGCCTTAAAGAGAGGTTGTGCTGTGACCACTCAAGAAGCCCATCCCAGACTCTGTAGTATCTGCAAGGAACTGCAGACATGTTTGAGGAAACCTATCATCATAATCCATCCACTGGATTACTGCAGCGTAGATTAAGTGGGGCTGCCCTTAAGATTGGTCCAGAAGCAGCAGTTGGTGTAGAATGCCACAGCCAAGTCTGTAACGAGAGCAGTGTCTAGCTGGCATATTGTACCTATGCTGAGGGAATGGCACTGGTTGCCTGTACACTGAGATGCCAGGCTTAGGGTTGTTTGCAAAGGGCTATAATGACAAACAGAGCTTGTTTACAAATACTGGCAATATTAAATATAAAAGTATAGTTTATCTGGAGAATGTGTAGAAATATACTAAATTTACTTTTTAATGATAATTTTATGCTAAGTGAAGAAGTGGTTTTAGTTCTTTAAAGACTGCTTTAAAGAGTGTACCACCAGACAGACTAACCTGGTGCCTATGCTGTAATCTCAGTTTTTCAGCCCTTCATTTAAAAAAAAAAAAAAAGATCTTAGCACTGCTACAGGCTTTTATTTTGGCTACCATTTTGATTTTATCTGCTTTAAACATATGGTTTTATATTATGTTTTACCATGTCATTGTATTTTACAGTTTTAAACTCTGTAAGGCCCAGAGAGCCTCAGCTAAAAGATGAAAGAGAGATGTAGCATCTGAGCTTCTTATTTTTCTGAAAATCTATGCCTTCCTTTTCAAAAAAAAAAAAGCAATTTTCCCCCAGACACTATGGCTCCAAAAGTTCTGGAAGCTCTCTAGTGTCCACTCTCCTAATAGTACATGCTGTTCCCCCCATGGCCAGAGAATGCGAGGAGAAAGGTCTTGGTGGGAAACAGCTGATGTGCCCCCCTCTCGTGCAGCAGCTCTCCTCCCTAATCATCCATGCCAACACACACTTTTTAGCAACCCAGGTTTCAGGCCCTGGCTGAAGCCAAATGCAATGTTTCAGCTAGATGGGCCAGAGTGTATCTCCTAGATCAGAAGCTCATCCAAATGAGGGTTCTTGGCTTTAGCTGGCATATTTTTGAGCAACTTCACAGCAACTTCCAGCAACAGTGCAACATTGTTGCCCCTCTACGTGGCATCACCTACCAAGGCACCAGACGCAGTGCAAAGAGCTTGAACAAAACAGTGAAGCACAGATTCCTAAGAAACTAGCTTGTGTAACAGCAATCTCTGATCCCCTGAAAGACGACAAGAGGGGACAGCAGGCCAGACCACCTGAATTTGATCAGGCCTGGGCACCTGATTAAAACAATGCTATTACATGTAAATAAGAACTTTCTGGCAAGAATGTGTTTCAGATTTCCCCATCAATCACAAACGTCACTTTTGGACTTGCAATACTGCCAATCCTTCCCAATTCAACACACGTACACTAAGGAACCAATGCTGATTGACATAAATCTTCCTGTATACAAAAGCCTGTTTCATGCTCAATGGTGAGAAAGAGGAAGTAAAATCCACTGGCGCCAACAATGAACAAAATGCATGACTAACTTAAACAGAAGAGGCCTTTCAATGAGGAAACTGTTGCATGGCAGAAATTTTAAATTATACTGTTCAGTCATTCTGAATTTGCTGCTTTGGTATTCATCATTCCTTCCCCCAATATACCAATCTAAATCCATAGGTACATATTGATATAGCAATGGATTTCAAGATTTTCCAAGAAAATGGTATCTCTTTACCTTCCCTCTGTACAGCTTAAGACTTTCTAGAAACAAGTGTGTGTTATACTGCGAAGAAACTCTCAATTAAGGTGGAATAGGGCTCTTTTGATAATTTATTATTGTGTTCTTCATAAAGCACATGTCTGCATATTATCTCCTACCAGTCTATAATAAGCAAATTTGGTGACTGAATAACTGCATTATTCTGTCTCCCTTTTCAAGCTTTAACTGTATGAGTCATTAGCACCCCATTAGCTAACCTCAGTTTCAACCAAACAGGGCAATATAGGGGCCAACAAAAAAGCAGTGCAAGATGGCCTGTTGCCATGTAGGGAGCCACAGCCCTGCGTGAGTGAGCTGAGCAGGGCTGTCAGAATAGGGCCTTTTGGAGGGAACACATTCATAGGGTCACACTTAAGCCAGGGATGGCCTGGCAACATGCCACAACAGCAAGGGGGAAAGGCATGTTAAGCAATGAAACCCCAACACAACTAAGTATGAGCGTGTTCACTAAACACATGAATCACTGGGCGAAAATAAATATAAGTAGAGACTTAAGATTCCATTCTCTTGCACTAATTAGATATTCTTACATATGCTAATGTTTAATGCTAGGCACTGATCATGTACTCCTAGCAATGTAGGAGCATCTATGCAATTGTATCTATGCTTAATAATGAATCAGTCCAAATAAATGCAGGAAGATGTGCACTGCTAGGTGGTGTGAAGAAACTTCTCAGGATGTAAGGTTTGGGTCAAAACAGAACTATCTGGAGAAATTCAGCAGCTGCTATTTGTAATATAGATACTGTAGTTCTGCTGATGCAGAAAATTATCCTGTACCTACCTTTTGGTTTATGTTACCCATTTCCCATAGAAAACACACATATATTTATTACAAACTCTTACACAGACTAATGTAGGGGGTGAGGGTTACGAATGGAGATGTACCATGAAGAAAAACTGTTCAAATTTGACAGTTTTGAGCAGAATGCCAACAAGATGAGCACAAAGGATCAATGGCCTGACTCAGCAGCATACATCTTCGCACAATCCTAAGAATTCACGTTCAGATATAATAAATAATACTGAAAGTAATAGATACTGGCCGCATGTGCACCAGAATGGATCATATGGAACTGGTGCCCAATGTTCCCAAAAGTGAAGATATCTGAGGCATTCTGTAGTTTCTAAAAATATTCAGAACAGAAATGCAACATGCCCTGGGAAAAAAGGAACAGATTACCTTTCATCTCTGTTACACATCTGCTGTGCAGAGAACTGTGTAAGAACCTTTAAAGGCCTGAAGCAACAAGGACATTTCAAGAGTTAATATCTGAAATTCCCTGCACTCCACCAAATGGTAACCAACACTCCAATTCATGTGCACCTTTGTTAATAATTTGTGGCCCAATAAGGAGGAAAATTTATATCCCTTCCACCCTCAGAGTACCAACCTTTCCCACCAATTAAGCCAAGAAATTGTAAATGGTTATTTATAAGCCAAATTCAAGGAGAGATAAAAACAAAGGGGCAGTTTATCAGGAAGGTCCAAAATTACAAAAGGGGGGGGGGTGTCATCCAAACATAATAAAAGTTTTCTATGGATTATGCTGAAGAGCTTAATTACACAGAGAAGCTGATTTCCACATGAGGCAGAGTTCCCACAAACAGAGGATGGGGCAATGAAGCTATTTTCCTTTCATTTATTCAGTCTGAGGTGAATATTAGCCTCAGTGCTTCCTTATACAAAAAGTGCTTCCTTGTACAAAAAAAGTGATTAGTACAGGTAAGATAGCACACCAAGAAAAGGGTTAGGCTAGGACCCTTTCCATGGACTTCTAGTTTTCTATGTGCAGGAATTCATTTTGTATAAGAGGAAACTTGGTCATGTATTCAGTAGTGCAGTCAAGAAGCAGAACAAACACTTTTGCCAGTTGATTGTGACAAAGGAGACCAAAATGGTTAGCAAAGCACAAAACTTATTTAAAGTAAATTATACTTTTTTAAAGCAAACCATATTTATTACAGGTTATGTATATTAAAGAAAATGAGCAAAAGCAGGAGTGAAAATAAAATAACAATTCCAGAACCAAAAAAGTAACATTTGATGCCGGCTTCTAAAAATTGGAAATCATCTTCCCAGGAAGAAGAGTAAATGGTAAGTATTTTCCTGATTTTTCATTCTTGATTTGCACTGTCTCCCTGACCCACACCTCAACTTTTTAAAAGTACAAACTGGAGAGATTGTGAAGGGTCAGAGTAGAACTTTGCAAGAGCTGAACAGTGAATTGCCCAGCTATGATTTACCACCCTTCAAGAAACAAGAGAAAAATGAACTACTTAAAAAGGAAAACCATCAATACATCAAGTATACAATATATGGTAAAGAGCAAGACACCAGATCTGACATTTTATTTTATAAACAGGGACTGATTAGCAATAGCACAGCTTCCAACATCCTGAAAGCCCAAGTCAACCCCCTACCCCCATTATTCTCAGACCGGGCAAGCAATCCACACAACACACGCTTGTATTCCTGAAACACACACAGCATTCCTAGGTGGTACCTTCTTGGCTCATCAGCACACACAGGACTGCCCCAAGCTCACTGCTTTTTGGTAGAAAGTATTGGATGCTCAGTCCACAGCACTTACCACAGACAGACTCTTAACATCGCTGAAGCCTGGAAGAACCGATCCAGAAAAATCAGCACTGCTGTGGGGGTCTGCAGCTGTTTTAAAATCGACTAAGAATTTCGGTGCTGAGAAAAGTCTCCAAGTGCCATCCACACGTTTATAAGAATCCAAGTGACCAGGCCCCTATAGTCTGCCTCCACTTGGGACTCTGAACACTAAGTGACACTAATCAATTTATGATTCAAGTGCTCATTTGAAAGATCTCACCTCATCTTGATGTACTCCAGACAACACTTCCTACATTTGGTCCTTTAGGGGGTCACGGAACAGTTAAAAATAAGTGAAAGCCTAAAATCCTGTGAATACTTCTTAGGGAATAAGAGCCACTGAACTCTGTGAGGCTTCCTTCAAGTAGACTTGCTTATACTTGCACCACATGCTTTTAATACCTCTGGAGTTAACACAAGAAGCTCCCTTATAGCAGGTCTAAATGGGCAACCCCCCCGCCCCAAAAAACCCAGTCTCTCTGGGAACATCTGCAGTACTTGAATCAGATCATCAGTGCTTTCATGCCATTGCTATCAACCCTGACTGGCAGCGACCTTTCTCAAGCTTATCTGAAGATCCCAGGGTTGAACATGGGGCCTCTGGCACGCAAAGCGAATGCTCTACCCCTGAGCCACAGTCCCTCCCCAGAGGCATGCCCTCCAATGTGTGACGCGGCACCCACACCGGAAGGGGGGCATGCAGTTCTAGCGCAGGGCAGCCCCTGCCACTGGCTATGCTGCCAAGGCCACTGGGAGTCACGGGTCAGCAGCAACTGGAGGCTCGCGTGTTCCTCCTGCGCCAGCGGAATGCATCCTGCCAAAGGGCCTGCAGCTCGCCCTCTACTCAAGCACGACAGCATTCTCAGTGTCAGCACAGGATTCGCTGATGAACCTGCAGGTGCCAGCCCACTGTGACAGACGTCTGCTGCACAAGGCTGCTATCCTGCAAGGCAGCTCGTGCTGAAGCCTTCCCCCGCAGGTGCACGTCAGACAGTGTGGCCAAACTGTGGGGATGCAGAAATTGTAGTGCAACTCAGCTGGAGCGCACCAGGTTGGAGGAGTCCAGAGCAGTGGGTCTGCCTGCAAAGAACCCAGGTGACTTAGCAGTGAACCAGGGCCAGGAAGAACCAGGACCGAGGCCCTGCCAGGTGACCCTGAGCCAGTCATAATTTTCTCAGCCAGCCTACCTCACAGGGTTGCTCTGAGGATAACAGGAAGGGGAAGAAGAGCCATGTAGTCAGCCTGAGCTCCCTAGAGGAAGAGCAGGAGAAAAATTTAATAAGTTATGTTTAATTACACCACCAATATTATTGTAATCACACCACCAACACTGCTGTTTAGGATTTCAAGAGATGATGCAAATGAAAAAGAAATGTACAGTTAAAAATTAGAAAGAGAAATAGATTGGAAAGCTCTGGAAACTTTTTGGGTTAATAATTTAGTATTATAAAATTAGTGAAACTCAGTCATCTCTCAGCCCTAGCCTAGCTCATTAAACTAGGGAACCTTGAATCCTTTCTTAAGCAAAGCTAGAATAAAACAAGTAAGTGTGCTTTCCTGATTCCCCACTTGAGAATATTTAAGCTCAACTATTTCTGATTCTCAGAAAAACATTTGAGATATTACACAACGTACAGACACAAATATACATCTGTTTTATTCTAGCTTTTTTAATGCACTTTGATTGTACTGACAGTTTAACAGCTCTATTCTGTAATGGGACAAACTGCCAGGTAAATTGGCATGGGGCTGCAGCTTAACTGAAGTATCCCTTGCTTGTATGTGTGTTTTTAAAGGCTAAAACAGTATAAAGCTGCTTATATAAAATGTACTAAATCAGAAGTCAACTGATTTAGCGAATGAAAAAGATTAAAATAAAACCCCAGACAAGAAGCATCATTAGAATTGGTCCCATAATGAAGTATGAGGTTAAAGGTAAAATCCTGGGTCTCAAAAAGCAGCATTTTGCAATGGTGGTGGCCTTCTGCTATCTTCATAACAGCATAAAGGAGATTGTGTGTGGGCACCACTTCTTTTAAGAGGTAATATGGAGATATTAAAGCAGGAGAGCAGAACCTCCGTCCCAATGTCCCAATCTAGCTGTCCCTGGTTTCCCCGAGGGCTATTCCCCCTTCCTGACCCCACCACCTTTTCTCCTAATGTTGGTATTTCCCCCAGTTTGTAATGTTTCCCCTAATGCCTCTCAGCAGCAGTAATGGCTTTAAGCTAAAACATGCCTGTATTGTGGGTTCTGTGTAATTGCATGTGGCCTTGGAATACGGCCCCTGAAAGCTTCTCTGAAACAAAATTCTGCCCTTGGGGTAAAAGAGATTTTACACTGCAAGCTCTCCAGAAAGCCACAGCATTTGCTGAAAATTCAGTTACTTCTGACAAAAGCAGGCCTCCTCCTTCCATCTCTAGCTTAAAGGAGGTTTGTCAATAGCAGCATAAAGTGGTTCAAAAGGCCGCAAGACGGTCTTTGTCTCAAGACCACATGATGTGGTCACAAGCACCTGCACTGCCACAACTGGTTGCTCTCCTCTACTGCAGCAGTTAGGGCATTCGCTATATCTTGGTGGACTTCATCTGCCCTCACTCCTAGCTCATGCAGCCAATGGTGAGGGATAACAGCTGGACAGTCAAACATCCCCTGTCCCTGTTTAACAAAGCAAACATGAGCCTTGCACAGGGAAAGCAACACTAGACTAGCTTTTGGGAGCATTTTAAGAATTACTGAGGTCTGTATACTATACATATGATTAGGCAGGGAGAGAGGATCTGTCAGTTATTTAAAAATTTTCCTGCCTTATTGATTAAATGTATATCCTGACTCTGTGACAAAAGATGGGATTTATAACATTATGTGCATTAATGTATTCATTTTAATTTACTGAAAACTAACTACCTTTTCATTCAAAACAATGGGTAATTATAGAAATAAGGAATGTAAACATTTTCAAATACTGTTGAGGGACAAATGCTGTTAATAATAGATTGTAACGGTGTCTAGCAGCACACCTGATAATAGCAGCAGCAGTGCTGCTAATTTTGAGGCAGGGACTCCCAAACCCAACTTTAGCCAAAAGTTCAGCCAGTACGCTGTAACTGCAATACTTGGCTTATCTTACAAATCTAAATTGAAAGGGGGCTGCAAGTCAGTGTGGAAAGGTAATTAAAGGCGCAACCCAAAGCATGTTTAGACCAAAACAAAGTTCTGCAACATCCTGCAGAGCTCAGTTTTATGACTTCTTTATGTTTAAATTGCATCCTAAGAGTGCTAAATAATGAACTGAGAGACCCAGGCCTAAATCCTCACTTGCACATGAAGCAGAATAGATTAACTTGGGCCAGTTGTGACCTCCCTACTGATTTCACCTCAGTTTTTGTGAAACTAAAATGCAGGAACCAGATACACTGTGTTGGAGGGAGTGTGAGATAATATCACTGAGCTAAGGCCATGAAATCTCAGATTTAAATTCCTGTTCAATCATGGGTGGACCAGAAAGTTGCAGACCAGCACGTCTCAAAGAAGCTAGAGGGGTTGAAAATAAAATAACATATACAGTGGTACCTTGGTTCACGAATGCTTCAGTTCACGACTAAATCGGTTCATGAACAAAAATTTCAGAACAATTTTGCCTCAGGTTGTGAACTGTGCATTGGGTGACAACCACGATCGCGGCCATGGTCCCACATGAACACGATCACAATTGCAGCCATCTTCCCTGCATAAGCATGATCGCGCCCATCTTCTCCACTCGTGGTCGCAGACAAGACTTGTGGTTACTTGCTGTGAAGTATTATTCAACTATAATATTGAATAATGGCTCCAAAGAAAGTGCAGAGCAAGCATGGTGATAAAAAGATTGTGCAGAGTGGTAATGAAGATGATCAGAACATGCAGAACAAGAATGTTAGGAAGAAGGTTTTGAAGAAAATAACCATTGAAGAAGGAAATTGTAGAAAAGCATGAGCAGGGTATTCATGTGACTGACTGGCCTCTGAGTACAAGATGGCGAAGTTGACAATCTCTACTATTTTAAAGAGTGAAGATGCCATCAAAGGAGCTGATGTGGCGAAAGGAGTAACAATATTAACCAAGCAGAGGACACAAGTGCTGGAAGAGGTGAAAAAACCTTTGGTAGTGTGGTTGAATGAGAAACAGCTGGCAGGTGATAGGGTTACTGAAGCTATGATCTGTGAAAAAGCCAGGAAATTGCACAGTGATTTACTGCAAAAAAAAAAAAAAAAAAAAAAAAAACCTCTACAAGTGCAGCAAGTGTTGAATGTAAAGCCAGTAGTGGGTGGTTTGATAATTTCTGCAAGAGAAGTGGCATCCACAGTGAGATAAGACATGGTGAGGTTCTCAGTTCTGACAAGGCTGCTGCAGAAGCCTTCCAGAAAGAATTCATGAAGGCAGAAGGATACGTTGCTCAACAAGAGTTCAATTGTGATGAAACAGGTTTCTTCTGAAGATGATGCTGAACAGAACCTACATCACGATGCAGGAGGAAAAGGCACTGCCGGGGCACAAGCCCATGAAGGACAGATTGACCCTTTCGCTGTGTGCGAACGCAAGTGCCGATTTGAAGATTAAGCCACTACTGGTGTACCATTCCCAGAGCCCTCGTGCATTCAAGGAACAGAATGTGCACAAGGCCAGACTGCCTGTTGTGTGGAAGGCCAATGCGAGGGCTTGGGTCACAAGGCAATTGTTCATGGAATGGCTGCATGAGGTGTTCTCAGCCACTGTTGAAGAAATATCTTTCTGACAACTAACTAAGGTGCCTTCTTCTGATGGACAATGCCCCGGCACATCCTCGAGCCTTGGTGGATGATATGGACAATGAGTATGACTTCATAAAGGTCAAGTTCCTCCCCCGCAAACGACACCTCTTCTGCAGCCCATGGACCAGCAAGTGATCTGCAGCTTCAAGCAGCTCTACACAAAGGTGCTCTTCAGCAGGTGTTTTAATGTCACTGAAGAGACATCACTGACTCTCTGGAAGAATCATTTCAATGTCCTCCACTGCATCAACCTGGTTGACAAAGCCTGGGAAGATGTCACATACCAGACCTTAAACTCAGCCTGGAGGAAACTGTGGCCAGAATGTGTCACTGAATGTGACTTTGAAGGGTCTGATGCACAGGCAGTGGAGGAGATTGGGCAAGAGTATGGGTCTGGACATCAATGGTGCAGACATAGAGGAGCTTGCCGAGGACCATAAGGAGGCGCTAACGAAGGAAGAACTTGCTGAACTCCAGAGTGAGCAGCAGACGGCGCTTGCTGAGGAGGATTCCACTGAGGAAGAGGAAGGCAGGGAGGAGGTTCACAGTGATGTGATACAATCCATTATGAAAAAATGGAAGGAGTGCCAGGATTTCTTTGAGAAGCACCACCCCAACAGAACTGTAATGAACAGAATGTTGAACCTGATGAATGATAATGTGGTCTTTCATTTCCAGACGGTTATGCAGCGCAGGAGAAAGCAAGTGACTATAGACAGATTTTTCACCAAAATTGACCCTGCAGCTAACAGACAAAGAAGAGAGGAAACCCCTGAAAGTTTACAGAATGGATTAACCTTATTTACACTGAACCTTACGGGGAAATTTGACTTGGGTCAGGACCAATTCGGGTTGCAACCAGAGTCCTGGGACGGGTTAAGTTTGTGAACCAAGGTACCACTGTACTATAGGGTGGGTTTTGAGGATAAAAGGGAGGAAGGAACTATCCTACTTTTACGTCCTAATATTTAGATGAATATTACATGCATTTTTAGAGTAATTGGAAATATTATTGAGAGCCACCAACATTCCAACCCCTTGCTTGCACAGAAATACAACACATTAATTGGGTCATGCAGCTGTAGAAAAAGGCCCCTGTTGGCTGAGCCTTTGTCAATGATACCTCCAACACATGGGTGTTTGCATAAGGTCTACTTTGCAGAGCTATTATGACTTACTGAGCAGCGCTCATCTGAAAGAACAGGACTTTTTATTCAACATTAAATGTAGCATTCAAGTTCCTGTGCAAAAAGTAAGCTGCACAAGATATTAAAAGGTCTGTAAATTCTAATAAAATTACTCCAGTACATGACACATCATGCTCTTCCTGTCTCATAATATGTTCCTTACTTTGGACTACTTTAGTTAGCAACCCTGTTCTGAAAGCCCTATACTTCCAATTACTTCTGAAGTCAGAAATGATATGAGCAATACTATACATTATTTTCAAATATATGTGCCAAATGTTTTGCTGTTTTAGTATAAGGAGCAGTCAGGTTTTAGACAAGAATCACTGTTGAATACGTTTTTCCCTCCATTCCCATATATGAGGAAAGAGCAATGCGAGGCTACTTTACAGAGTTGCAAGTCCAAGGAAGGCTAAGTAGTAGCACTTACACAAAGATGCTGCAAAAGCTATGTTATTGTCCTTGTTCTGTTTGCATTTTTATTACAATTATATCCTACCAAGGTGGCTTACATAACCACTCCATTTTATCCTCACAACAACCCTGTGAGGTAGGTTAGACTAAAAAGTCAGCGATTATCCCAAAGTCCCCTAGCAAGTTTCATGGCCAAATGGGGACATATATCCTTTCTTTCCAAAATCCAGTGCAGAGCTCTTAACTACACCACAATGGCCCTATTTGTTTGCAAATCCAGCCCCCCATTATCCCCCACCTCTGAAGCAATGAATCCCTTTCCCCAGATATGTAAGGCCTACCTTAAAAAGGAGTTGTCTGAAAGGCTATCTCTTTCAAAAAAATTAAAGAAATAATTAAAATGCGATACGATTTTTCTTACTGTAACTATAATTTGCATAGCCTTGCATTCTCCATCCTTCTCTATAAATCCCCTTCCCCTTTTTACACACATACACACATATACATGTATGCATGTAAACAGATATATATGCACATATACAAGCACTGAGATAACTAGATTTAAAATAGCCTCTAAAAGACCATGTTATGAATGGTAATATAACTGGTCCACATTACATTACCGTTTCATTGGGCTAGAACCGCAATGGCTTCCCTGTACCTCTGCCCCACACCCCATCCTCAGAACTGGGTTCCATTTAGGGCTAAGAATAACTCACCATGGGAAACAGTCACCCTAAATAAATAAATATATGGGGGGGGCAGAAACAGGTACGCGTTGCAAAGGCCGCCAAAGAGGGTCCCCGGAAGACGAACGTGGTTGCCCTACGTGGACAGGCCTACCGCACCGCGCACCGCCCACGACCACTCGTCACGAGCCCCCCGTATACGCATCTCCCCTACCCTCGCGCTTTGCCCCGCCCCCACAAAGACCCCGACTCCGCCCCCCTTCACTCACGTCCGTGCGGGCCCCGCCTCCAGCGATCGCACAGGCAGGCCCGCCCCTCGATGCGTCACAGGCCCGGCAAGGCCGCGAGGCGCGCTTGCCTGGCGCGCCGCGGCCTCCGCCTCTGCCTAGCGCCTCGCTCACCTGACGGCTCGACGGTGGAACGACGACGAGGACGAGGAAAGAAGCGAACGGTTGCGGAGAAAGAAATGGAGGATGGCGACGGCAGCGGCGGGGAGAGGGAAGGGGAGGGACGAGGTGGAAGACGACTCGCGCGACGAGCCGCTCCGGTCCCTCAATCAGCAGCCGCAGCAGGAGGAGGAGGTGGGAGCGTCACTTGGCCGCGCCCCTTACAACGCCCGCCGGCCGTCGCTCATTGGCCGCGGTGCACGCATCCGGCGGCGCCGATTGGGCGGCGGCTGCGCCGGTCTGGAAGCGGGTGCGCGAAGACGAGGCGGTGGCCGCAGCGGCGTGCAAACTGCTGGTGGGGAGAGGCAAGAGAGCTGCACATGCGCAGCAGCCACCCTACTCGCCCGCGCGCTTTTTCTGCATGCCTTGTTCTCTTCTCGCTCCTTCCTCCCCGCCCAAAAAGGCGAGATGGACCCGCCTGTATATGCATTCACTAGTTACGTCAGTAGTTTCCTGAAAACTCTTAGGCGCACATACAGCCCAAAAAAACGATACCATTCATATTCGTTGTGGAGGACAGGAGAGCCTGGAAGAATGTCCATGGGGTCGCGATGGGTCGAACGCGACTTCGTGACTAGCATAGCAAAGAAATAGGTTACATCTCACTCTGCGTCTGAACGTTACCTCGAGGATTTTCTGCAAGGGAAAATAGAAGGGATATAACTATCATAACCATTCCTACTCACCTATTGGTCTTCATGAAAGGGCAACAAGCTCTCCAGGTTTTCACACATTAGTCTTGTGTGTCAATGACCAATACCCCCTTTTAAAAGTGTGATCCTGGGCAAGGTGAGAAGGGAAAAAGTTCCACCTGGGGCATGCTGGGAGTTGTAGGCCTTTTTTTCCTGAGTATGTGTGTAAGCATGCATAGGATTGCAACTTTTAAGTGAAGACATACTGGTATTCTGACCCCACCAGTGTTGGGATGTTGACCAACTTGAAGTACACTAACTGTTCAGGCAGCAAAAAGTGGTGCAACTCCCATCATATCTCTTCCCACTGTTTTCTATCTAAAGACATAGGATCACCCCCTTGGCTGTCCTTGTTCTGGCGGGAACAACTCTGCTTTCTCTTGTCCTCCCATCCTGCAGTCTTCCCTTTAGACTCCATAAGGACCTCAGAAGACTTAAACTGCAACAAGAATGCTTCCCACCTGCACAACTGAAGACTTCTTTGCTGTTCTTGGTTATATGTGAAGTTATTCACACCATCAGTACAAATTTGTTTAAATTATGGCTAGATGCAGTTTCTCCTTCATGGATCACTGCCTTGCTGTGGTGAAGGGGCTTGCATAGCTCAATGAAACAATGAGCTATGCTGTGCAGGGCCACCCAAGACGGACAGGTCATAGCAGTGAACTCTGACAAAACGTGCTCCACTGGAGAAGGAAATGGCAACCCACTCCAGTATCCTTGCCATGAAAACCCCATAAGGTAAAGTAAAGGATTCCCCTTGACATTAAAGTCCAGTCATGTCTGACTCTAGGGAGTGGTGCTCATCTCTGTTTCCTAGCCGAGGGAACCAGCATTTGTCCACAGACAGTCTCCATGTTCATGTGGCTGGCATGACTAAACACTGAAGTGCACGGAACACTGTTACCTTCCCACCGAAGTGGTACCTTTTCATCTACTTGCATTTGCATGCTTTCAAACTGCAAGATTGGCAGGAGCTAGGACGGAGCAACGGGAACTCACCCCGTTGTGCAGATTTAAATCGGTGACCTTTCGATCAACCAGCACAGCGGTATAAACCACTGCGCCACCTGCAAAAAAACCCATGGACAGTACCAAAAGGCAAAAAGATGATGCTGTAAGATAAGCCGCTCAGGTCGGGAGGTGTCCAATGTGCTACTGGACAAGAGCAGAGGGCTAGTACTAGTAGCGCCAGAAAGAGTGAAGCGACTGGGTCAAAGCCGAAAGGACACGCAGTTGCGGATGTATCTGGTGGTGAAAGGAGAGTCCGATGCTGCAAAGATCTATACTCCATAGGAACCTGGAATGTAAGAACCATGAATCAAGGCAAGCTGGACATGGTCAAACAAGAGATGACAAGAATGAAATGGACAGGAATGGGTGAATTTAATTCAGATGACCATCGGGTATACTACTGCGGGCAAGAATCCCTCAGAAGAAATGGTGTAGACTTCATAGTCAATAAAAGAGTAGGAAAAGCAGGACTGGGATACAATCTCCAAAATGACAGAATGATCTCAGTTCGAATCCAAGGCAAACCATTCAACATCACAGTAGTCCAATCTATGACCCAACCACTGGTGCTGAAGAAGCTGAAGTTGACTGGTTCTATGAAGGCCTACAACACCTTCTAGAATGAACACCAAAAATGATGTCCTTATCATCATGAGGGATTGGAATGCTAAATCAGGAAGCCAAAAGATAACTGGAATAACAGGCAAGTTTAGCCTTGCAGTACAAAATGAAGCAGGGCACCGGTTGGAAGAATTTTGTCAAGAGAATACGATGGTCATAGCAAACACTCTTTTCCAACAACCCAAGAGATGACTCTACACATGGACATCACCAGACAGTCAACACAGAAATCAGATTGACTATGTGCTCTGCAGCCAAAGATGGAGAAGCTCTATAGAGTCAGTAAAAACACGACCAGGAGCTGCCTATGGCTCAGATCATGAGCTCCTTGTTGCAAAATTCAAGCTTAAACTGAAGAAAGTAGGGGAAAGCACTAGGCCACTCAGGTATGACCTAAATCATATCCCTGATGAATATACAATAGAGGGGACAAATAGATTTAAGGAATTAGATCTGATAGAGTGCCTGAAGAACTATGGACGGAGGTTCACAACATAGTACAAGAGGTAGCAAACTTGGAAAACTCAGCAATGGCCACAGGATTGGAAAAGGTCAGTTTACATTCCGATCCCAAAGAAGGGCAATGCCAAGGAATGTTCAAACTACCACACCATTGCACTCATTTCACATGCTAGCAAAGTTTTGCTCAACATCCTACAAGCTAGGCTCCAGCAGTATGTGGATTGAGAACTGCCAGAAGTACAGGCAGGATTTTGAAGAGGCAGAGGAACTAGAGGTCAAATTGCCAACATATGCTGGATCATGGAGAAAGCTAGGGAGTTCCAGAAAAACATCTACTTCTGCTTCATTGACTATGCTAAAGCCTTCACTTGTTTGGATCACAACAAATTGTGGCAAGTTGTTAAAGAGATGGGAGTACCAGACCATCTTATGTGTCTCTTGAGAAACCTAAAAGTATGTGGGTCAAGAAGCAACAGTGAGAACTGGACATAGAACCACTGATTGGTTCAAAATTGGGAAAGGAGTACAGAAAGGCTGTATAGTGTCGCCCTGACTATTTAACTTATATGCAGAGCACATCATGAGAAAGGCGGGGCTAGATGAATCACCAATTGGAATTAAGATTGCTGGGAGAAATATCAACAGCCTCAGATATGCAGATGAAACCACTCTAATGGCAGAAAGTGAAGAGGAACTGAAGAGCCTCTTGATGCAGGTGAAGGAGAACACAAAAGTTGGCTTGAAAATCAACATTAAGAAAACTAAGATCATGGCATCTGGTCCTCTCACTTCCTGGCAAATAGATG